CGTAACGTACGTACCGTACCGTACGGTTAGTACGTTAGTTGTTGTAGTGTATATATATATATATATATATATATATATATATATATATATATATAAGAGAGAGAGAGAGAGAGAGTCAGTACACCTTTAGAGAAGCATCGGGAGCCTTCCTGCTCTTCAGCCAAGTAAATGCAACTGCCTGGTGTAACTATATAGATGCAGTTAATGATCATAAAGGGCTCACCATCACCAACCTAGACATCAACCTGCTCATGTCCACCTCCAATATAGCCCCATAACGTCAAGAAATGTACCACTTTCTCTAGAAAATGACACAGTCTTCTATGGAACCATCTCTTCATAAGACCCAACCAATGTTCATAATCATCCTCTTTTCTTCCAACTACAAACCCTCTCTGAGATCTCGTACATCGTTTCAGCCCATCACTCACAGTATTTCAAAACCCCTAATCCTCTCACCATATCTCCCATCCAATAATAGCACTAGCTCAAAGAATATATCATATAATACCTCAAACTATACCTAAAGTGCTTCTCAAGAGCCCTATTAAACACAACAATATTATCTTTCAACACCGATCTATCACTTGATTCCTAAAGCATCTTCTAGAACATTCTTTTTAAAGAAATGTATCTTCTAGAATATTCACTATATAAGCTGCCTCCAGACTTCTAGAAATATCATATATCGGCCCCCTATTCTATATAGGACAATTAGTACAATGTACCCCCTCCTTTTCTTCTAATACTCAAAAATACCCAAAACACCATCTTTCTATCAATAAAAACCTCCTGTCAAATTACCCGATCAAGGGTAAATAATTGACCTATGCCCACTGAAAACAACTGCCATTAATTCAATCGATAAGTCAACCAGTTCCATTCCCATATAGCGAAATGGGTAGACCCTCCCCCATTCATCTTACCAAGTCATGCAACCTTTTAAATGATTGCCTCCCTAGAGGGTCGGTATGGATCCTACCCCTACCTGTTTACCATCCACTCATCCCTTGGTAGAATCTTGCATATAGAAAATAAATCCCATCATGAAGCTACAATTTGGAATAGCACGCACTTCATTTCATGTACCAACCACTTTTGATGAAAAATGCGCCAAGCATTCTCTTCGGTTGCCACCCATCCCTTCCAATCATGCCTTCGCCATTATTGGAATTGAAACTGAGATATTGATGCAAGTTCTTCCCTTCTGAATCAGATAGATTCAGATCTGAAAGAGGATGAAAATAAGTTCATTTAAAATTGACTCTTTGTTTTTCTATTACAGGTGTTCCAGAAATGTCCGCGATCAAATAAATACCTCTACCAACGAGTGGATCAAATGTAGTTGGAAAATGGAAAGATTTGTACAAGTTATATGTTTTCCTTTTTAAGAATGTTAACTTTATATATAAGATAAAGATTTACAAAAGGACCAAAAAAAATGGCATCCTACAGCATTGTACAAGTTGTACGTTTCGTCACCATTTTGTGGAAAATCGTTTCACAGTTCATTTGAAGGTCAGACGCAAATTGAAAGCTAAGAAATGGCAATTCTAAAGATCACCAGGGGGAAATAGAGATGTCTCTTATATTACCCGTAATATGTGGAAGTGTCGACGTAATGTCATAGAGTCATTCGATCTGAGTGTTGCATGAAGAACATAAGCCAAATGACAAAATGGGGAGACCTAGGATGTAGAAAATCATAGGATGAGTGATTCGACAACCAGAAAACACGTCACTACATCCATAGGAACCCTTTTCCATGCAATCTTCTTTTTTCTACATCCCTTGCGATAAAATCTCCAAGACCACTTTTGCTATGGCTTGATAACATGAGAGTAATGGCATGACTAACAAACATCCTTTTTCCACCACTAGGACAGTAAGTTGGCCATAGATCAACCTCACCCCCACCCCCACCCCCACCGCCCCCCCCCCCTCAAGTCAATTGTTGCTTAAATCCTTTCCTGCCCCAAAGGCGATATTTCTCTGCTAGCATGACCATCACACTACGTCAAACACCATTTTCAATTTTTCTGGAAGACTTCTTCTAGGAAAAAAGGACCAGTAAGTCCATAATCAAGAGACACCTTGAATTGCAAAAGCTGCACCTCTGAATGTCCTTGACTTCCTCTGCCGTTAATACATGACACCTTCATTTCCTATGTTTGTTGAATTAGTCCCCTTGCAATGGATCTAAATTTTATGCAAGGAAGAACCCCATCAATAGAAAGCAAATTAAATATCCGAGGTTAACTATCTCCACTTATAGTCCCTTACTTTCTTCAAGCAATGAAAGAAAAAAAAATGGAACAGTCACTGTTGGCAGAAATTGATTGGAAAATATGCTAAAACCTTGGGAATCATAAATGAATATTTGTATATAACCAAAAAGAAGATAAATGATATAAGAAAGTAAATACAACAAAAATGGGAGAGAATTGGAACAAAATGTTACACAATCCAAAGTAGCTACAAGCTTAGCTTATATTTAGGCAAAAGAATTGAAGTGAAAATATGAACAGAGTAGAAGAAAGTATTCAATTCAGGGTATCATGTTTTTGCAAACCTTTGGGGCACAAGAATATAGCAAATCCTGAAATCATGCACCTTCGTCATGCTCTACAATGCATAAAGGAGTAATGTCGTGACAAAGTTTTTATGTAGAGAAATAAAGCATAACCAGGTACATTCACAGAAAATAAATGTTGTTTTCTCTTGAAGGGATTTTCTTCTCCCTCATGACGATCTATACAAAAGGGCAAGTGTGAATCATGAGCATTGACAGTTCAAATTATATTTAGAATAGACATGTATTACATCCAAATCATGTGTACTTTAGGTACACAGGCAGCCATCAACCATCCATACCACACAAAGGAAGAGAAGGGTGGAGATGAATCACTCTAAGTACATCACATACTTTGAACAACAACAATATTATTTTTAAGACCAAAATGTAGCACTTATCCCGATGAAATGAACATTCTTAAGCAGCGAAAAGCACAAGGAATTCAAAACAAAATTCCTTCAAAAATATATACAATTCAAAACCATTAAAAAAATGTATATATAATCACTTTCACACCTTGTGGAGATACGCGGGGGAGGGATGCGCGACCACAGGCTGCGCCTTGTGGATAAGATCCCCTAAACTGATTTTTCTGGTTGCAAAAATCCCCCTGCCTGCGTTCTCTGTGAACCCCACTCGAATAGGGGGAGGAAGGGGAGCCATGGCTTCTCCTTCTTGTCCTTGGTTTGTGGAGAACCATAAAACTCTGGTTAGGAAGCTTAGACTCCTCTTGTCCTTCATCAGAAGCCACTGTCGATGCGAAATGTTGAGCGGTGACATGGTTGTATCATATATGCAAATGGAGCAAGGAGTTTCAGGAGATGGTTTTTAAGAGTTCAGTGGTGATTTGGGCGGAACTAAATAACTCGCGCCATGGTGCGCATGAGTTCAATATATATAGTATTTGGGTGGATATTGGGTCATGCCGACGGGTCGACACGACCGGGTCATGGTCCACTTGACTTTGACCCACCGTACTAGGTTAGGTCGGGTCTGGGATGAGTCCAACCCCACCTCACCTGCTAGAGATTACATATTAGTATTGTATTGTATAAAATGTATAAAAAAAATTATATGTTTTTTATTTATGAATGAACGCAAACCCGATCGAAGCTGGTTTGTTGGAATTGGGTCCAATTGACTTGGACCTGAACTGTGCCTGGATCTAGTTTACGTCCGATCCTTACTTATATGTAGTCAGCTCGGGTCTGGGTCGAGGTCGACCCACAGCCGACCTTCCTCCCCCTGATATTTAGAGTTTGGACTTCAAGTAACAATGCCGGGGCATGAGCATAGTAAGAACGATATACTATGATCCCTTAACCATGTGCAAATGCAGTCATGAAAGTTATCACCATCCAAATAAGGATGATGATGGATTTATATATATATATATATATATATGGGAAAAGATGGTATTAGCCCACTAGCTTATATGGACATATGAGCCCAACGTTTCTGATTGAATTTGGACCGATCTGACGATTACGAATGTCCAGTCGTATTTGAATTTTAATTTTTTTTCTACTAATCCAAATCACTTGAAATTTTAGATGATTGTTCATAAAAAATAGGTAAATCTTTGAAAAATATCAAAAAAATTATTTTACATGAAATAAATTAACTAAAATACCCCCGAAAATCTTTGGAGGGTATTTTAGTCTTTTTTTTCACGAATAAATTTTTTCCATTTCTATTATGTACACGTTGATGAAAAGAACACA